TTGTAATTATATATTGTAACCATGCTTATTATATTATGTATATATCTTCTCTCATTATATGCACATATTTTGTATCTTGTTATGCCTTTCGACAGGACCAGTGTCAATATAATATTTCAAATTGCTCAAACTCATCCATTATTTAAGCGCCTTTTTATCCTTTTCCTCTTTTTAAATTTTTCACCGAAGGAATTACACCTACTTCTTGATTATTCTTCCAGTTCTTGTATGTTTCCCTTTCAGGATATTTGTCACCGACTCGAAAAGCTTTCACCAAATGCTTCCCCCATTAGTCGACTCTGTTTCACTACACCTTTAAATTCTTATCTCATATTAACTTGTTATTAATAATTTAATGTTAATATCTTGCTTAACTTCATTACCTTTTTACTATAGTTTAACGATTTTACTTAATGTTATTTGTGACAAAAATTATTATGTAACTTGTTACTAAAATTTCTTCATATAGCTCAAATGTTTTTTAAAATTTAGAAATTTTCTTTGTGTTAATGCACGCATAATTAGTAATTTTTAATTTTGTTCGATAGGGCCTTCGGCCCAAGTACCCAGATGTATACACTATTCCTCCGTGAAACAAGTGAAAATGTTAACGACACTTTACGAATGAACGGAAACAAAATAAGATACAGTTTTCACTAAAGCCATAAAAGATAAACAAACGCGAAAGAAAATAATTTGATAATTTTAGACTCTAACATTCTAATAACATTTTAGACTCTACTTTTCATGAAAAATTATCAGTAAAACTTTATAAAAAACTTAAAACTTAAAAAATAAAATGTGTAATTAACTACGTAAATTTAAAATTAAGTGCTGTAAATTGCATCAATTTTCTTTTCATTTTCAGTTTTTAAATGCTTAAGTTTCCTTCTTACTTTTTCAGCAAAAAGTTATTAGTTCATTGAAAAATAGGAAATATAGAAGTAACAATATCTCTCTTTCCTTCTTGCGTTCTCAAATCATTATGCGAAAAATGCACTTACTTTTAAAACTTGAAAAACGCATGTGTGCGATGTTATCGTCATGCGATGATTTATAGGTACTTTTTTTTACCGCGATATTTTCGTCGACGATGTTTTTAAACTGCGAATTTTTTGAACCGCTATATTTTTGACCACGATATTTTATACCACATTGGTTTAGAACTGCGACGTTTTCTCTTTTCTTTCTTTTCTCCCACGATGTTTTGCACTACGACGTTTTTGCCTTGTGTTGTTTTCTCCGCGACGTTTTCGTTTGCGATGTTTTTGGCGGACTCCACCTGTGCCAATGCCATCGAGATCTGTCTCAGCGGTGGTAGCTGCACCCGATGGCGCGATAATTCTCTAAGCGGGTCTTGTTTTCTATTTCACATTAGGTTATTTGTTCGCAAAGTTTGCCGTGCCAGATGCTAGAATAGGGGTTTAGCTTATGAACTGTATATAATACGACTTTGTGCGCTGTTTCTTTTTCACTAAGTTGATTTTAGTTTCTGTACCTTAAGCTGAAGACAGAAATAAATTTTAATTGTTGTTATTTTCTGTTGTAATTGTTTAGTGTTTTGATATTGTAGTAAAAGCTGCAACAAAAATTTTTTATTTCAAGCTAGAAGTATAGATTGAGCAACAGTGTAGGCAGCTTAGAAGACAAGTATAGATTGAGAAAAAGGGGAATTTGTAGCGTTCCTCACTTTGCAATTCTAAGTTACTGTTGAACGTGAAGTATCTTAAGAACTGATAAGTGAATAATCGCTTGAGTTCGTGTGACAGGAAACAACAAGATAGACGGATAAACTAGCTCTTTATTATTCCAACTAAAGTTTAACAAAACTCCGTCTTGGAGTGTACAATAAAGCCGACACTTTGGCTTGAACTTAAGATACTAAGCATTAACCTAAACTAATCTAAACTAAAGAGGTATAGCCGAAGCTATCAAAATTCTAACAGAGTTGGTCCCTTAACGTTACTAGACTGCGAAGCTATCAAGGGCCTAAAGTACGGCTGAGCGTGATAATATGCAGAAAATTTCTCGGCCGCACTGCACCTATTCCTTTCATTTGTTTGGCAACACTCTTCGTCAGGCTCGTTGTCTATTTCTGCGATTTTCACCGACTAAACGTGATTTTCGACCCAATGCTCCATGGTAATTTTTAATCCTCTTGATGCCTGTTATCACGTCTGTGAATTTTTCGCTTGAATTCAGCAACCCCCTGTATTTGTTACAGATGCAAAAATGAAAAGTAAGAAGTTAAATCGAATTCACTACTACCACTTTAAATGTTGCGGACAAAAAGCGAACTTTTAATAAATACTTTTTGTTACTATTTCTTTTCCAACTAATTCTGGATTTTTTATGTTGTGTATTAAAACTATTACTACTTCTGCAACTACTACTGTTGCTACTGTCATAGGATCCGGAAGTTATAAACTGTTTATTGCCCATACAGTCCTTTATTCATCTGTAAGTATAAACAATGTTTTAAGGTCTCCAAAAGTCCTCCGCTTATGGTCATTGCATTTCATATGCAAGAGGAATGATTTCAAATTTTTATAATTTTCTGGGAGATATATAAAATGATCAACAATGCCGATGGCAAATGGAGATATACAAAGGATCAACAATTACAGATGCATACTTTCTCCCTTTATGCTAAAACTTGCTTTAAAGTTTCATTAGAGAATACAATGAAACGTTAAAAGTTAAAAAATACATCTTTTTTTCAAATGAAAAAAATCCAAGTTTAAGAAACATGCATATTGCGCATATGTTTTAATAATCGTTTTTCGATTCGGAGAAAAAAATGATATTACGAACAGTTAAAATGTGTAAAAACGTTTTTCTCATTACAAGGCCAATGTTATTAATTAATTTTATTCATGAAATTTCCATATATTTGAGCGAAAATATGCACAAATAATATTTAAATAAATATTAGTTTTTAATTCCTGTTTTGCTATGGTTATGCACAAACACTAAATATTTGATGTGAAGTAAAATGTGTTTGCAGTATGGGAGGAGCGGAGAAAAAACAAGACTGGCATCATATGCGTGGAACTGATTATAATTTTATATTTGCATTTGATATGCTGGGAAGCATATTGCCAAATTCATATACAGTAATTATATCATAGTTTCCAGTGAATATCTGCATTTTAGTGGAATAATGAAGACTGATTTTTCTCCAAAAGATTTATGACAACTCTTAAAATTCCATGAATCTGATGAATGTATTAGAAGTATCGAATTGCCGAATTCCTATCGGTATGTCCGAAAACATGGGAAACAGAGCTTATTACGACTAACAATTCGCTCAATGTGATCAAAATATTGTAGAATAAATATTTAAACTGAAATAAAATCGCACAATAAAGTCAAAATAGATTTCAAAAATTTCCATATGGTTTAACAGTTTATAACTTCCGGATCCTATGACAGAAGCAACAGTAGTAGTTGTAGAAGTAGTAATAGTTTTAATACACAACATAAAAAATCCAGAATTATGTGGAAATGTCACCACGTAAGGAATTCACTTGGTTTCGATTACTTGGTTGGAATAACTTGGTTTCGATTTCAGTCAACCAGTTACGAAGCAAACTTAGTTTAACATAAATTTTGAATAACTCTATAGATTATATGGGCGATTAGACACAAGTCCTTTTCTTAAATTTCCTAATACATCTACACTAATCTAAGGCCGCTATTCCAAATTCAGTATTCTAAATTTTACATTCGCATGTTCCCTTCCAATAAAAGATGCTCTCCTAGTATTAAGTGCAGAGCATCAGTCAAATAATTCCCAGAAACGTTATGAACAATTTATAAATGAAAGACATTGTGAACAATTCATAAACAAACTCTTGCATTTTCCTAATTAAAATGTTGTGAAAATACCCGTTTATATTACGTTGCTCGTTATATTTATATTAAACTAGTTAACTTCCATTGCTCTTTTGAAGGATATTTCTCTCGTCGTTTTATGTTATCAAGACAGTTGGTAAACGTGATCACAATTAAGCAACGCCTATTTTTAAAAATATAAAATATGTAGTCTTCCTAAAGTTTAGCAAATTTTGATTAGTTACTTAAACTCGTTGTTTGACTGCTTGTTAAAGGGGAATATCTTCGAAATGTAATTTCTGTATAAGTAGGAGAATTAAAAAAAGTTCAAAGAAAAATTCAAAAATTATAGTTATGGTTTATTCTTTTCTGGCGAACCTTGATAAATTTCCACGTTTGTTGAAAATATCTGTATCCGTACTTATTTGTAGGAACATATATTAATAAAGCTAGTAGGTTTCAATCATGACTGAAACAGTGTTCCCTCTAATGTAAAATGCATTTCCCGAAATTAATTAAGTTAAATATAATTTTCTAAGGCCTTTTTAATTCATTCCTGAGTTTTAGTTATTTTGTATTGTTATAATTTATCAGATTAACTATTCTGTATTTTATTACAGCCATGTACAATAAACTTGAATTCTTGAAGTTTATCAATGTAAAAGGAACTATTCACTGCAATATGTATACTAAAAAAGGAAATACTTATTTTCATGGCTAAAACTTTCTAGTTACTTTATCTTCCCAATTTTACAGTTGTGTCGTATATGATGCCACACTCATCTGATATTTGATGTAATGTAAATGTTTTACAGGATATATGCGATAAAAAAGGCAACTGAACTTAAATTACGTAATACCATTTTACTAATGTATGTGCCAAGGTACATATGTTTAAATAAAATGCATTTCTATGAATTTAAATAGACATTATAAGTAATGACATTTCCAGAAAATAAAAGCAAAAGTACGTCTGATTGATATTTTATTCCATCAGTGTTTTACAAACTGAATTTTGTTTTCAAACTATTATGTAAATTTTCATGAAATTTTACAAAGTATAAATTTATCTATGTTTACATCCTTAATTTGCAAAGTCTTTTCGCTGTAGGTTATTAAAGATTTCCCGGGGTATGAAACTGTTTTCGTTGTTTAAATTAAACTTGATGTTTGATCTTGACGTCAGTGCAGCTCATGTTATCCACCAGGAATTCAGCGAGTGTACTGGCTGTGATGACTCTGTCGAATGGGAATCCCATGGGTTTCTTGTCTGGATACAATTGGTCCTTTGCACCACAGTAACTGATGGCATCAACACAAACACCGTCACTTTGTCCTTCAATCTAGAAGAAACAATTAAATCAATTAAATGTTTTTGGCTAATCTTTAAATTTGAGATTTTTATTTTTTAAGACATTTTTAATTTCAAAGTAATATACTCTTCAAAAGTAAACTTTTATTTTATTTCTGTTTATTAATAACTTTATTAATAACTTGGATATTTAATTCTGCAAACATTTTTGTATATTTAATTTCAGCTAACTTCCCATTTTTCCTTAAAGTTGATCATCCAAAGAACTTATTTCTTTGCTTCCAAGAAACAATGTTTATTTTATGCTGGAAAATCTAGTTATTTGATAGTTTTATATCAGTTTGATTTTAAAGGCTCTTTTATACCCTTAGATAAGTATTTCCTCAATTGTAATCAGTTTGAAAGCAGGCAATTTTACAGGAATTTTAATAATAATAATTAAGAAGGAGCAAGTAATAGCAATAAAACACATTCCTAATATTATTTAGCTCTCTTGCGTAGTTTGAAGTTATAATTTTGTACTACATATTACGTTCTACAGCCGGTTTCCGGTCAAGGCTGTCTCGATCAGCCTCTACTATCTTGACCTAATCAACGCCACATTCCTCCACCTATTGACATCTATGTTCTTTAACCCCTTTTCCACATTGTCTATACACCTCGTGCGTGTCTTATCCTCTTTTCCTCTGGCTTTTGCATCCTCCATGGGCTTTTGTAATGTCAGTTTCTTCACTGGGTTCTCATCTCCATATCTGAATATATTGAATATATGGCTTAGCCATTTAGTTGAGAGATTTTTAATAACTTTTATTATATTTAGTTCTCTAAATTTTTGCTGAAGATCAAAATTATATTTTATTTTCCACATTCCATTTTCACTTACTACTGCAGAAATTCATCTGAAAATCTTTTGTTCAAATCTCATTTCTCTCTTCATCTGCTTTATTCATTGTCCAGCACTCAATTCCATACAACACTATAGGTCATACTAAGGTCTTATACAACTGTATTTTCAGTTTCATTGTTTAAGTATTTTGATTTAAACTGGTTTTTCAGAAAGAAAAGCATTAATGATAATATTTTGTCGTTATACTGTCAAAATATTTGCTCATGATTGTAAATATATTCAACATATAATTTACAAGTGGCTAAATCAAATGATCTCTTCAATTTATTAAATACATTCTGCATTTTGGAGCAGTTTAAAGAACGGCGTATTTTTTAGAAATCTTAAAAGTTTTGAATGGAATGCCTGTAAATTACGTACACAGTATTCCTATAAAGCAGGGTTCCTTAAACATTTTTCAGTCACGACCTCTTTTTATCACTGAGAGTTTTTCGCGACCCACAGGGCTCCGTAATATTTACGAAAATTTTGTGCGACCCCCATTAAAATTGCGCAAATCCGACACACGCGTGTGTGAAACTGTCAATTTCTTCACTTGTACTGTAATATACTATTGCAGTTTTTGGTCATTGACTTTAATTTCTAATTTTAAGACACAGAACAATGTGAAAATTTTAAATAATTAACAGACGAAATGACAGCGTCACGTGCAAAGCAAGTAAAATGAACGTTTCTATTATAAAAAGAATGCGTCGAAACGTTTTCCTTTTTTCTTTGTCTGTATTGTCTTATCTTTATCAATTTTCAGATACATTGTCGAAAAATACTTGGTAAATGTAAAATTATTATAATAAGTTAAAGAAATATCAAAATTGCTAAATTTTTAGCGACCCCTTGCTGCAGGTCCCGCGAGGGTCGTGACCCACAGTTTAAGAAAGTGTAATGGAATATAAAGGAACGTAAATGTCCTGAGGGTCGTGACCCACAGTTTAAGAAAGTGTAATGGAATATAAAGGAACGTAATTTATGTAGAATAGAAAATCGCGCATAGTTATTAACTAAAAGCAGTAGATATGAATTTTCATAGACATTTTATCAGGCTATAAACTCAAAAGTCAGTTCAGTCTCTATTACTTATTTGCAAAACTTGTTTATTTAGAATGATTACATGCTGCTTGTTTCTGTCTATGGTCTCATATTAAAATAGAAACCTGTATTTAAGTATTTCGTTCGTAATTTAAAAAAAAGTGTTGAAATTAATTTCTACATCTTAAGTTTATTAAAATACTGCTACTAATGATATTTTATGAATCGGAAATTGTTTGATTTCTGGAAAGTTATGTACCCATTATTTATGTTATAAACCTTTATGCAATGTATGTGCATTGTCCATAGAAAACAGCAAAATTTTAACGTTTTGTCTGCAATTATTTTTTTAAAAAGCCTATAATCTAAAACTTACAGTAGCTGACTGCAAACTACTTGTATATTTTTGCAAATAAAACAAAAGGAAATACATGAAAAACATATGAATGAACCAATCTAATTTAAATAGATCGTAAATAGCCTATCTTAATATAACGCAAATAATATTAAAAAAAAGAAGTTTTTTTAATTAGTTTAGATAAATTGCATTGAAGTAACTTGGAAATTAAGATCAATAAGCATTTATTCTTAAAATACTCTCTAAAAATGATGATGTTGTTTCAAAGAATTAAAAGCTTTCCGATGATGGAAAATGGTTATTCTTTTACAAATTTCTTATTTATTATCAAAAGCAAGTTCCGTTAGAAATTCTCTTTAAATAGCACAAGAAAGATTTTTTATCGGAAAGTTATAAAATTGAGGGGGGAGGTTAAGTCCGTATTCAAATTATTTATCAGCTCTCCGTTACATAAGTTAATGGAGTTCTAGTTATGGTTTCAGTAATCTTGTAATAAACGTTTTAGTTTAGTTATTAAGCAGTGCTTTGTCAAAAACTTCTGCTCGATAAAGGAAGAAAAGAGTTTTTAACTACGATAGTGCTTTGTTTTAGGCCACTTTGCTCTCCTTTAGGCCACTTTAAATAAATTTTAAATCTTAACAGGAAACCTCAGTGCAATTTTGTTAAATTTCAGCTCTATTAAGAATGAATATAGTTGCTTACTGCATCTTGAGCGTAGTCAGTTAATATAACGAAAAGGTCAAACTCAGATCCCTTGTGGCTACCACGTGGGATAAGCATGTGTTCAGGCCATCCACAGCTACAGAACTCTGTTGTGTTTTCACTGACGCCTTCACCCTTGAGTAACTTCTCGAAAGTATGAGTCTCAGATACTGTCACGCTGGATAGACGATGATCTCTGGTGATTACATTCTTGCCAGGAGTCACTAGAATTTAACAATATGCAGTTAATTAATTTTGGAGTTGAAATCATAAAAATATTATGAAGCAATCAATTACAAAACAGGCAAATATATATGTATGTTGTCTCTCACATAAATATTTGTAGCGCTGTTAGATTTTTTAAGTATTCAAAAAACTGGAAACATCAGCTATGCCTTCCCCGAGATTCAAAACCCATATTTTCCGATTGCCAGTCGGTCTTGTTACCAATTACACCCAAAAATCACGCAGTGGAAAAAGCAAAAAATTCTTTACTTGCTTGGCATTCAAATAAACATTTTTAGTCATTTTTCATCTTTACAGCTTCAGCCGCTTCTTTATTAATCGGAAATTTTTAAGTAGCTAGAGAAAAGCAAATTCGTCAATACCTAAAAAAATACATTTTTATTTAAAATTACTCACAAGAAATACTATCTTAGGAACCTACTTCTCCAACTCTAATTCCACATACGAAAAGCATTTTGAAAAATAAATGCAAACATAACGCAGTTCATTTTCAAACCTTTAGAATTTAGAAGCGCTAGATGTAGAATTATGCTTATAGCCATAATTACAATGCATAGTTAGGAGTATGAATGCGCAGAATTGGGTTTAAATATATGTTCAGAAGTCTCGCTGTAAAATTATGCTTAAAATACGTACTTTAGATCAGGGCTTAAATTGCGCCGGAGCCCACAGGAGCCTGGCTCCGGTACTTCTTAGTTTTGGGGATAATTTATAACTTTAGCCGGAGCGCACCGGAACCCTAAATAAGAACTTCTTTTATGTAACTGAATAATTTCAGTAGAAATTTGATCTTGAAAACTTTATTTTTACTAATAAAATTGCTTATTAAATTCTAATTTATCTCTTTGCGTTTTATTAAATTTTAATTACGTTAACCATTATTTAATTACATTAATAATGACTTATTTAATTTTTTTAATTGTTAACGATTTTATTTGTCATCTTATTCTTTATTTATTCTTGTTCCTCTTCCCTGAAAGTCTTCTATAGGGCTCCGGTACTTCTAATTTTTGAAATTAAGCCCTGCTTTAGATTGTAGTTATAGAGTTGAGCCTAAATATATAGTGTAGATGTAGAAATATGCTTTTTATTTTGCTTGAAAAAATCAAAACTTTGAGAGATCACATGTTAAAGAATTGCGTACTTTTCCAAAATGATGTAAGTATCCTAATTTAAAAGGAAAATTGCAAAACTTCGCAAAAATTCTCGAGATGTACATAACGCACTTGATTAAAGATGTTTACTGAAAGTCATAAATGAAGGTACCCGTCCTCTTAAGTCAGATAAGCGACCAAACGTTTTATTCAAATAAACAAACAAAAGATATTTATTTTGCAAACCAATCCTTACCTTAATAATTAAGGTATTAATTAATTAATCCTTACCTTAATAATTAATTAGTCCTTACCTTAATAAAATCTTAAATCTCCTTGAAAAGTTTTGGATTAACTACTGGCAGTATTGTACATTCGTAATCATTATATTAAATCTACGAGAATATTCTCATGCTTTTGGAAATATTTTTTACAGAAAATACATTATCACACATAGATTAATTTTTTTTTAAGTTGGCAATATAATAGCGCATATTTTCAGGCAAGCATTTACGTTTACCAAAATTGCATCGATAAGTAAAATTTTGTTCTTTTTATTAAAATTACAACAATCGAAAATAGGATTTGTTCCTGCATTGTGTTTCTGAAGCAAATAATCTCCTGAAAATAATAAAAGACTGTAAGCAATTTTCTCCTTCCTTACCGCGTGCCTTCGTGTCGTAGTTGGAAGCATGTCCAATGAACAAAAGAAAAGTCCGGAGTTCGAATCCCAGAGAGAGCATAGCTCGCTTTCTCTCGTTTCTCGCCCCAAAAAGTCTAACTAGACTCTACTAGATAGATATTTACATAGCACTGGTTTAACGATTAATATATATGAAACTTAGTATGAAAGTAAGTATGAAAAACTTTCATGTGGTACTTATTTAATTAATGACCTTACAGAAGTTTTAGGAATTTGTTTGGAGCAGGAAACACAAAATATCATCTATGCTCTTGCCGAGATTCGGACTCCGGATCTTTCCATTGCCAGTCAAATGTGCTATCACTTACACCAGCAGAGTACGCAGAGGGAAGACAAAACTTTTTTATGCTCACCCCCACTTAAAGAGCGACTGGGGAGGGGGAAGAGAAACCTAGTGGGCAAAAGTCAGTTCGTGAAGAATCGTGATTCACCTCATTTTTAGTCGGGTGCCACTTTAGAGCTATCAGACAGTCCCTCGCTAGCTTAGGTAACACACTTTTACCAGTCAATTCAGTTACTTTAAGAATTTTCAGAACTTGCTCTAGGATTTGTTTAATGATCGCATATAAGGACATTTTCTTAGGCAGAGCTTTGAGAAAAATGCTGGGCTTTCGAGGTCTTCTCTTTATTTTATCTCAGTTTCTTCTTCTTTTTTTTAACAAAGCAAGTGGTCTTTTTAACATGGCCAATAAAAGTATAAATTATACAATTGCTTATCATATTTACAAGTATTGATAAAAACTGCTTATCATATTTACGAGTATTGATAAAAATTGCTTATCATATTTACGAGTATTATCATTAAATACAATTAACTTTACACTCTTATTTCGCCATTAATATTCTGTACCTTGGCAAGTAGGAAACGTGAAGCTTATTTCTCGTTATTTATAACTCAAATCTCAAGAAGAAATGTGGACAGTTTTTTTTAATCTTTACAGCTTTTGAGGAAACTTTTATTGAAATTAATCCTGTTTAAGAGATAGGGTTTTTTTTTTTTTTTTTTTTTTTTTTTTTTTTTTTTTTAGTACTAATAATATAACGCTGTGAACTTGGGTTGGCGGATCAATTAATTCGAAAAATCTTAAATTTCAAAAATGCCATTTGTTAAAGCAGTAATTATACTGCCGTTAATAATTATATTGGTAATATATTAATAATTAATAAAAATTATGTGATAAGTCATTCGACTTAACATTTTTCCTGGAAAATAACACCTATGATTTTACGGAGAACTGTTTTCTTTTATATTTTGTACATTTTAATTTTCTTCATTTGCAATTTATATTTTTCTTATAAATGTTTAAGTTTAAAAAAAAACTTACATTCAGTGTGGAATTTGTCTAATTCAATGCACAATGTTCTCTGGTGTTCTGGGTCCAAGCGGTTACCTAACTCATCGTATTTGGGGCCAAGAAATATCCTGACTGTTGCTTCTTTGGGTCCTCCAGTCTTATTGTCAACGCTGATGTTGTAAGTAAATGGTTCATGGTCCAGATGTTGGTAACGTACCTAGGTTAATATGTTGAATTTACTAAAGAGATAGACAGTGAGCTTTTTCTTTTAGAAATGATAAAAACCATTAAAAAAGTGAGTTTGAAAAAAGTTTAGAATTCCTTACTTTGACTGAATGTTTGGTTCCAAAGTCAATACCATGTGTTAATTCCAAAACATCCGTCTTCATAAATGTTGTTACAAGGTTAGGAACTTTAGCATTTACTGTTACATTTACAACTTGAACACCGTCGAATTTGAGCTGCGAAAATGTTATAGAAAATTCAGAAAGAGAAAATACATAAATAGATAAAAGAATAAATAAACATACAATCAGGGAACTTTTCTAATAATCTTTGGATCTCGTAGAAAATAATGTTTCGTTATTGGTTTCTTATATGATTTTAATTTAATTACCTCACATTCGCAGGAACTTGGGAAAAAAATGCTTAAAATTTTGTACAAAAGAATTATATTTCTTAAAACGAAATTTATCGCCTTTGTTATTCAAAAATTGCAACTTGTTTTCCATTTATACATTTTTCCGAATGGAGACTAATTTATTCAGAGAAACAGATATTCACTTAATGCAAATTTTATTAGAAAAGGCTGTATAAATCTTTATAATCTTGTTAGCTTTCATTGCTTAAAAAATCTTTACATTCTAAGCTCAAAGTGATTTTGATCACAACTATAAAAAGAAAAAGTTTTCTTATTAACCTTATTTCAGTTCTTTGACAAGTACATTTTTATTCGTTATGACCTAATTCCAAGGAAAAACTAAAAAGTACCTATAGCAACTCCTGCTGGCATCACTGTATTACCAATTTAACCATATTATTACGTAAATTAATATCCTTTACTTGTGTGCTTAGCGACTGATGTTCGTTACAGTACTTACAATTTTAAAATAAATAATAGTGCTATTTACATGCATATTTTTGGAATATTTTACTTTTGGAATATTTTATTTTATGGGAAACAAATTTTAAATTTTTAAGAAAATTCAGTTTTAAATTCTTATGAAAATAAAAGTAATAATTTAATACATAGAATTATTATAAATTTCTGTTTTCTTTGAGTGTACTTACTTCATCTGGTGTGTATGGTTTTAAAGTGGACTTGTACTCCTGGAAGATGTTATCAATAAACCTGTGGTACCTGTAGAAAATTGGATCACGAAGAGCAGTGGAAGTGTCGCTCATGACACCTGGGTTTTCCTGAAAATAGAATGATTTAGTGTAAGATTTCACAGTCCATTTCCAGATATTTTAATGAAATAAAAGTTGAGTATAGTTGTAGGAGATTAGTGAACTTCTGTTTACTTTTATATAAATATCATTTTCAAATTGCAACTAAAAATGCGAATTTATTTACATTGAATCTGCCATCAGGATCAGTAATTCTTGCCATCATGACATGTCCCCAGTTATGAAGACTTCCGTAAAACAACTTATTCTTAGATTCATAGCTGGATTCAACGATAGCACCTAAGATATCAATACCATTCTGTTCTGTCAATTCAACTCGTTGGTGGTTTTCGTCTTCAACGTATCCCAAGTGGATAGCCTCAATTATCCTTTCCCTCCAACGGATCATATCCTGGACATCAACATCTTTCAGGTCATGCAGATGGAATCCTTCTGGTCTTGAAGCATATTGCAGTCCACTGACTAGAGACGTTAAATGAGCGGAATAACCCTCCAATTCTTCTTCGAAGTTATGGAAAGGTATCATTCTCCTCATGCCATTAGAAAGTCGTTCGCAATCATATCTAAAATAAAAAAAGTGAAATTATATTAAATAAATATATTCAAAATCTTATTATTCTTACATGCTTGCTCTCATAATAACTCAGTAGATACAATCATTTAGCTAATGATGAGTCATTTAGCTTCTCAAGAATATTAAAATTAAAGTCAAGTTTTTTTTTCTATAGTCATTCTCCTTATTGAAAAGCGTCTCATATATTGCCTTACTCGGTTTTTCTACCAAAGTATTTGGTTTGTTCTTAAAGTACACATAAAATTCAATGCATGTTTTATACAGCCAATCCATAATAAAATATGTTGTGCTAAAATGACGGCTCTCTGAGGAAAACTTTTAAAATTTAGGATTCTCTGAGCCCTGCATTGCAGTATCTCACCTCTTAAAAGTTACGTGAAAACTCAAACCAAGATTAGTGTAAAGTAATTTAAATAAGGTTTAACAGTATTTCATTACATGAAGATGTGTTTCATTTGCTGCAGTTATTGTCCCATGTGTTTACATGAATCCTGAAAATCAATATTTTAAACTTATCTGTGATTTCAATACATATCCATTTAAGACTGTTGAAAATAGCAAATTAAAATACAATTAAATGGAAAAACATAGAAAGTTTTTGCAGTTTTTGCTCTCTATTGCTCTTAGCTCATACCCAAAACTGTGTAAATTAGCAAGTAACGTCTATTACTATCAAGAAATGAGCTTGGAGTTGTAAATGGGGCCCTAATCTTCAAAAAACGCTCATCAGTACTCTTACAGTAATTAATTTTATAGTGACCTATCTCAATAATCTCCTTCCAATTTTTAGGGTATAAGAAGTATCCCGGCTTAATTTTAGAGTTCTGACATATCGCAATCAATATTTATGTTAATTTGAAAATGCTAATTAGTTGGTTGATGGAACGGTTTGATAAATAATCATTATAAACTAAGAAACAGGAATTTGGAAATTCCTTCTATCCTTTCAGCATCTAAAATTATGAAATTATGTTTTGAGTCTAGAAAAGGTAATTTTTTTTAAGTGTTGCAATTAGAATAGGTAGATTCAATCAGGGACACATCAAAGCAAAGCTTTTATAGTCCCTAAGCATTTAAAAACATTTAAAGTGCATAACGCCTGTTTTTCCCCATAACGTTTTGCTCTTGGTCTTGGTTCAACTGCATTATACATTCCATAGTAAAACTGGCAAATAAAAATTCCTGTCTAGGCCCTCTTTCCTTCCTTAAGCACCTTTCTGTGATGCCCGCTTCTTTAATGCTGTAATGCTTTTCTTTAATGTTTATATTTTGCTTAATTAATAATTGATTAATCCATTTCTGAGTTTGATAAGGAATATATATGTTTTGCCAGACCATATAAGCATTGATAGTTTTTCAACATGTTTATTTTATTAATATACAAGTTTTTATCTTTTTCTCACTTTGATAGCTATTACGAAGATTCATTGACCATTAGAACAAAATAAAAAATAATACATATAGAGCAAATCGGATTAATCTCAGTTAAAAGAAGAATGCCTAAGAGAATTATAACAGCCATCGCATCGCAGTATGCAATAAAAGAGAAATTACAAATTTAAACGTAGCCATATTAATATAATCCCGTAATGCTATTTACAAAACCACATTCAGGCATTCTATATTCAAACACTACTGTTTTTCCCAACTCCCATGTAAACACGATATACATATTTTTATTTATTTATTTATTTATTTTTCAAAAACTGTTTCTCTCGTATTGAATTGAAGTACTTCTAAGCAGCAGCTCGATGCCATTTGCACTTAACTGCAAACTTTATTATTATTGTTATTATTATTAGTAGTAGTATTTGCCATTTGGGTTCTTTTTAATTCTGAATGTTTTTTGGAAAATATAATGACAGCACAGAAGAAAGAAAACAGGGCCTTTAAAAAAGACACAATGCTGTTCTATATATTTCTTTAGAATTCTAACTCCTTGTGGACCTAAAAATACGCTTCAAAGTAAGTGAGTACTTTAAAAGAACTAAAAATATATTATTTTAAGTATTAATTAAATAAAGATCTTTTTCACAAAAATGAATTCTCTAGCTACTATTTTTCATATAAGGTACAATGTTATTTTTTCTACATTTACCTGGCGCACATCTGTTGATGCATATAGTAGAAAAGTTCTCCTTTCCTGTCCTTAAGTCTGCCCATGACCTCTGGTCTCCATGTTGCTGGATAGACTATATGCCAGTGCCAATGATGGGCATTAGTCTCAATATCTTCTCGGAAATAGCTCATCTTATACTCTGGATCCAGAATGTTGCCGGTTGATTCAATCTCAACTTCGACATCCTAAATTAATTACATATTGTTTAATTTGTTTAATTATACACCTTAGAAACAGATACTTTTATCTAAGGGGCAGTGCCCTTTCATATGAAAATTCACAACAGTGAACTACTGCGAGACAATAAAGTAAAACCTATTTTGATAATAAATAAGAATCCTCCTTCCTAAGGAACAATATTTTTTCCTTTATGTCTTTTTCTCTCTTTAAGCATGCATCATTTTTCCCCACGTGAAGTTACTTTCATTATTTCCATGAATGTACTGGCGTGTATGTTTTTATCAAATCTCGTCAGCTGAATTTATCGTAAAAAATCTTTACTAAAAAATAATTTAATACTAAAATATCACTAGATATCATGTATTTGTGCTTAAACTTGTAAAAGGTGAATCTAATGTCTAACCTAACCACCAGCCGTTTAAAAAATTTAGCAGCACGTTTCAACTGAATGCAAAGTCATCATTATAAGCAAACTAAAACTTCACATTCAATTATACATACTCAGTTCTGTGTTTCGAACTCAGTTACGTAGATTAAATAAAATTACTGCAAATTTCAAGTAAATTATAGTTTTTTAAAAATGATGAAATTATTAGTTTAAAATTTTTTCTTAAATAGCCGTTTACGCACTATATTCATCTTACCTTACATCTAGGGAAACCATGTGGCTTATGATAATTGAAAAGCAAACCATATCGGCATCGTTTCTGAATTGATTTCAAACTACTTATTTATTTGCATAAATTTGCGTTTTCATATAAAAACTAGTTATTAAGTTTAGAAGAGATAAGTAAATTAAATGAATAGGAAACTTTTGCATATAAAGGAAATGCAGCACTGCTTCTGTGCCGTAGTGAAACCAACGAAGTAATTCGCATAAGAAATTGTATATTGGAAATTACGTCATGGGAGTACTAAAGAGATATTTTCAAAATCTCTTTATTCAGTTTTAATTCATCTTTTTAAATTCCACAGTTTATAAACATTAAGATGGGTTTAATATTTTACAGTATTTTTACATTTTTATCATTATATTGAACGTAAATTTGCTTACATAATTTTTTATTCAAATCTTAAAAGCTCTTTCGATTGCATCTAAGTAAGCTTCCCTATTTCTAATAAATAAAAGTAATAATACGTTAAGAATTAAAGAGCTTTTACTGTATTGAAGGAAATATTTAACGAGCAGGTTTTGCTAACATCATTTATCAGAAGAATATATGTGCGCCCATCTGGCTGATAATATACTTTGAAAGAAAAGAAGTTATAGCCATGATTTAAAATAAGTATGCAAAAAGCAAATTTATTTCCATCCGTTACTATTTTTTAAATATTATATTTCCCATGACCGCTTTTATTAGTTCTGATAATCGAGAACAATAACCTACATTTTGCGTATATTGTGTAATAGAGTCTATGAAACACCATAAGTAAATAAGTCAAAACACCATAAGTAATAGCTGTGGAAATAATAACCTACATTTTGCGTACATTGTGTAATAGAGTCTATGAAGTTAAAACAACATAAGTGATAGCTGTGGGAATGCTTAAATTGACTCATTTAAAGAAATAGTCACTTAAGATTGATAAATGAAGAGCATTAATACAAAATTATTAATTTTCTTTGTAATAATTTAATCTTTTCTTGTGAATGCTTCACCAGTTCATCATAAATAATATTTATCGTAATAAAATAAATTCTATAAATAAATAAAATAGTTGAAAATTCTACCAGTGAACAAACCCGTCATTTTTTCTCAACATTTCTATAACGAATCGATTAAGCGAATAGAAAATGAATAAAAATATAATCTTCTAGATATTAAATTGCTCGATGGTCATAAAAGCGTTTTTTCGTAAAAGCAACAAATAACCCGAATGAATAATGCCATAATTAAATCTACGCAAGTTAAGTTTTAATCTGGTCTGCCAAATTAAAACAGAGCTACATAATTATTGTGATTGAGTACTGGTAAGTAGAAGAGCCCAAGCTAAACGTTCTTAAATATTAAAAACAAATACTGACTTTTTTGTATCAGCAAAAATAACCTTTATATTAATTATAACTAAGAAATTCGTTCCTGCAGAAACGATCCAGAAACCAATAAAACGTACTGGGTAGTTTTGAAGATAATTTCTCTGCATATCAGTGGAGGATAAAAGCTAATGAAAGCCTGTTATCATTAGCTGTACTGATATGTAAAATAGGCCGACAATAATGAAGTTTTGGATAGCACATTTTATATTTTGGGCAGTGGAAAGTCTTACCTTGTCAGGATGGTTTGCAACTTCTTTTTGAGCCAGACTGATGGTTTCGGATGGAACAAACCTATCTGGGAAGATTTCTTGAATGGGTGGCATAGTGACTCCTTTGCAGTCATCGCGATGAAGAATAGCAACAGAGGCAGCATAGACGAAAAGGCCTTCATTTGCAAAGGATCGAGCTTGTTTCGCCAAGTTCATGAAATCATCGAAGTCCTTAGCAGCTAAAATAACAAACTCAGACAGTCAGAGATCGCAATAATATCCTTTGAACAAAATATGCATATTCAACCTAAACATTAAAACAACCTTTTAGCTAAAGGCACGAAAGAAATGATTATTTTCCCAAAAGATTTGCAAACATTACATTCATAATAGCAGAATTGCGAATATAAACTATTTAATGACAGGATAAGCTGTCAAGGGTATATTTCTGGTTATAATATCTTGTAAACTCCTGAAAAGTTTTAACTAAGGTCGATTTCATCAGTCATGGCAGGTAAATTCATGCACATTTAGAACATAGTTTGCTGTTAAAGTTTCAGAATATAGTAATGAGTATTGCTTCATTGAATATTACAATAAACGTGTTTAATTACCTAGAGGTCTAGTAAAATAGTTTCAAATATTAAAAATTTACCTTAATTTTGCAAACAGCATGCGAAGTCTTTTGATAGAAATTTTATTATTAGGTTTTTAACCTTTTTATTTCTTTCCAGTGTTTTAAAGAAGATGATAAAGGAAAGTAATATTGGTAAACAATATAATATGCATTTTTATAAGAAAAGCTCGAAGTCTGTCTGAAAGCGTTCTCTGAATAAACTATAATCCTATTAATTAATGTTATTATCTTTCTATTATTTTTTATTTCCCTTTCAACAAATTAGAATTTGTCGTAATTTGTTTAGACAGTATATAATATAGTAGCTTTTTATAGATTATAATTACATTCTATTTATTTTGCCAATATTTTGTGCATTATTCAGAATTAAATTCTTAGAACATTTAAAAATTCGCTGTTAAAAATAGAAATTTTATACTAATGAAGATTAAAAATTAAAAATGAGAAGAATAATTTATGGTATATATCTTTTATCTTTCATTGTTAAATTACTTCAATAAATTCTGCATTTGCTTCGCTTCGCTATGCAGCAAAAAGTAATCTAGTATGTTTAAGTTTATACATAATATTGTTTATTTGTATTATAGTTACATGATGCGGTTAAACTGGTTGAAACACGACAGTTTAGTTCCATTATGTACCTCAAGATACTAGTAATTAATTATATTTCTAAAGAATCTAAACTACTTTGCGATATTAATTTTTGTCTCTTATTACTTTATGAGGCCCACCAGCGGCCGAGTGGTAAAGTCGCTGAACACTGGTAGTTCGATCCGAGGTTCGAATCCCGCGAATGGACTGGCTGCATGGGTGTTTTCGTGGTTTTCCCCATGTGTAACGTGTATACGAGCCAGTTTCCCTTAGAAAGTCCTCCACGAAGGCATCCCTCCCCTTAGGCAGATAGCCCTAGTGTGCTTTGCCATAATTAAATACACCACACCACATCTTATTACTTTATGACTATCTTATCATTTCATCATACTTATGATTCCTTGTTATGATAACTTCTGTAACCTGTTAAATTATAAAAGATTTAAAATCATTTACATCAACTTAATGTCTATTCATATATTTTTCCTGCAGGATTTGAAGTTCGGATTTCTCCGAAACTTAAAAGTAATTGTTCTAATTCGTAGACAATGCAGATTCAGGTTCTGTTATTAGCTGTTTACCAAGTCTTCAGAAACATGACTCTTGCATACATATGCGACATTCTACAGTATTTTCTAATTTCTAGAACAATACATTAAAGAAGAATCTTAAATAACTCTCATTGCTTCAAAAGCATCTTTCAGTCAGTTCTTAAATGAGCTTTTAAATAAACCTGTCATAATGAGGAAATGCAACAATAAAAATCGCTTTATCTGAAAAGAATTTTAAAGACGCTTTGTGATTTTTGAGATTAGCCTTCTAACTTTATATACTTTTTATTATCAATATAATTACATTAACTAATCATAAAGGTAAATTGCCGGACTTGGTAAGATTTTATAATCACTTTGACAAGTAGACAAGTATTATTATGAAGCATTCAGTATCACTTATATTGTAATTGATATCAATTAACATAACTGAAATCATACGGTGCACATATATAACTAAACTGAAGTATACGGGTGCTGTTGGGTTAACTAACTTATTTTCCTCCCATACTTTGTTACATTAACTAATGTATTTTCCTCCTATTGAAAATAAAATTGTAGTCAGCTACGATAACTGAAAGATTTTGCATATCAAATATCAAATAAATATAAATAATCAACTGAGATCCTTCTTGAAGTAATTTTGCGTTAATTTCTTTCTCCTTTTTAAATATGATGCCCTAAACATTTACTGGTGAGTAGTCACTGCTGTAAATGCTGGAGTAAATTAATGCGCAATAGAGAAAGGAAGCTTAAAATGTGTATTTATTTTTTATTTTATTTTTTAAACTCGCGACAGATTCTTAGCTATATGGTATAGATTTAATTGATTCCGCATTCTGATATTCAGTGTAGAAAGGCGTATATTAAACAAAATGATCTTTCCCTGCATCGACTTTCAAGACTGAGACCCAAAATATTGTAAAAGTAGTACTAGTTAAAAAAGTTTCTCATTTTATAGAATAAGCAATAACCAGTTTACATGGTAATCCATAGAAATAAGTATGCGATTTTGCTACTTCCATCAGTGCAACTGCTACTGGTATAAATTTAACAGACTTTCAGGGATCGTAATGGTATTTTATTTTATTTATTTTAAATTTCTTTCATCATCGTAAAAGTATATTCTAATAAAACTTGCCGTAAATAACAAATCTGTAGAAATGAAATAACTGGTACCTTGAAATAAGGTATAAACTGTTCTATATATTTATTCACGGAAATTGATCCCTTTAAGCTGCAGAATTCTTGATTAACTAAGAATTTGTGTGAGAAAGACTTTTGTAAAGTCTTGTTGCATGTTTCATTTGCTATCTGCGAAGTAGACATTCTCATTCTCCCTTCTATCGGAGAACGAATAAAGTAAAATACAGGAAACCAAATATATGAACAAATCGTTAATTCATGCACAAAGTAGTTATAGACATATAACTGAAGTACTTACAATGAAGGATTTCGTATAGTTTTGTTGCCTCCGTCAGGTGTTTCTCGTGGAAACATGAGAAAAGCTCTCCCTGGGCCAATTTTCCAATCCCCTTTAGTCTAGCATCCCTCTGGTCGACAGGCACTGCAGTTCGGCTTACAGTGGTCAGGTGCTCGAACAGGCTGCAAACGCGCTGCTGCTTTTCTTTGACGGACATCGTCGGCTTCAGAGGGTAACTGGACGATACAGAGGTCGAGAGCTACCGAGCAAGATGGCTGAGACTTTTTCGGACAAGCTTTTTATATGCTGGCTGTAGTTTCCGCTTCGATATTCTTACGGGAAAGGCAAATTTCTTTGAAGTGTTTGTCGCTTTTTCTTAGTCCGCTGCATGGATGAGCTATTATTAGATAAAGCGATAGCGGAAAATCATTTGCAGAAGTTTTCTGCAGGATTTTATTAGAATTTTCTTTTTGTTATTAACGGATATCGCAGTAGCTATTATAAATTCCTTATTTTAAATCTTGAATCACTTATGCATTTGAGGTTATTATTATTATTATTATTATTATTATGTAAGTGTATAAATTTAAAAAACAACAAATGAGAGGCTGGCATTATTTCGCCTTTGAAATAAACTGCGAAAAAAATGCTTTAATCAAATTATAATGCATTATTACTTCGAATTCCCTAAGTTAAAATGTAAACTGACACATAGAAATAAAATTCACTTTCATATATATTGGTAGCTATGTTTTAAAAATATCATTCAAAACACAATCGTTCAGTTAATGGATGGCTCAAACTACGCTGACGACTCGTTTCATTTGGATGTAAGAGTTTGAAAACAAGTGTGTTTTTATTTATAAGTAAAGCATTTATTTAAACTAAACTACTAATGTACTTCCCCAAAACCATTGAAAACATGAACAATGTGCAAATGGGCTCAATATGCTTAAACTTTTAACTGTCATGCCCGAGAAAATCTCGGGCACAGCACTGGTGTTCGAAAATGTCACGCCCGAGTATTACTCGGGGTAATTTTTTTTTTTTTTTTTTTTTTTTTTTTTTTTTTTTTTTTGTTTTTTGAGTGCATCGTATTGTTATACCCGAATATATATCGGGAGACGTTTATTTCGGCTTCATCTCTTTGTCAAACCCGACTGTATCTCGGGAAAAGTTAATGTGCGCTCAGTTCAATAGATGACAGCACTTTACTGAAGATTTCAAAGGTTAGAGGTTATAAGTTCTTTGGTTCAAAGTGCATGGGATCTTTTTGTTGTAAAATGGCGTCCAGTTCTTTGAAACGTTATATAGATGATTTAGATTCTTCAACCGAAGATGAAGGATGTGTGTTTGATGAGCAGTATTCATGATACTTCCATGGTCAGCCTCAAAAATAAAAAAAAATGGAGATATACTCAAGCCGAAGATTGTTTCTCTGATTACAGTCTAACTATGGGTGGTGTAGATCGCTGTGATCAGGAAATATCCTTTCATCCAACAATCCGAAAACGTCAGAAAAAATATTATAAAAAGATATTTTTACATTTACTAGACAAGGTACTCTGGAACTCATATTTGCTCTATAAAAATGTAGTTTGGAAACATATTACATTTTTAGAATTTCGAATCCAAGTTGTAGAAGAGCTTTTACATAAATATGATGATGCAGCTTCTGGACAAAAGAATGTTGGCAGACCACCTACAATAGATAACCCTGCCCGTCTTACTGAACGACATTTTATATCCCATATTCCTGCGAAACGTGAGCCTACAAGACAGTGCAAAGTGTGTTGTTCGAAAAAGGATAAAAATGGGGAAAAGATAAGGAAGGAAACACGATTCTGGTGTAGTGATTGTGGAGTTGGTTTGTGCTTGGAAAAGTGTTTCCAGTTGTACCACACAAGACTGAATTACTGAACTACTAATAGGTATTCACTTTTATTATTATTTTTTTATTTATTTATTTTTAGAAAATAATTTATTTTTTTCATTTTTAGATAATAATGCTCCACTAGAAGCGAACTTTACAACTGCCATGTTGAGTGGCAGCCGCCTCAAGCAAATATGCAGTGGCTACAAAACTTTAAAAATTAAATTTTGAAGTACATGGGTAAAAAACTTTACCCATGTACTTCAAAATATCAATTTTTTAACTACTTAAGTATATTTTATTTTGTACTATACATTTGATTTTTTCAATAAAAAAATTTGACAATTTGTGTACCCAAATCATCAAAATAACTTGACAGTTAAAGGGTTAAACAAAATTAGTGGTGGTATTTTATTTTCTGAATCAGAATAATGTCAAGTGAAAATTAAAATTTAATCTACAAAATAAAACTTAAAGTTTCTTATAACATTGGAAACTATTTGCATACAAAATAGCTTTCCTGACAATTATGTATGGGTTTATTGGATTCAATTATATACCTTCTATGTATTAAAAATAAATATATGCTTAATACGTTAAAACAACAAATGTGTAACTAAATTACAAATTATCTTCAGTACAATTTATTAAGATATACCTACAGAAAACTCTTTAATGTCAGTTTAAGACTTATCACATTGCATACATTCTGAGGTATTGCAATGAACAAAATTTAAGCTCGATTCCACTTACATAGAATCATCATATGCCGTTTTTCAAAGTTATAAATTCGGAATTTCAGTTTTTATTCTATAAAAATTCTAGTTCTGCTGCTAACTGACACAAAATTTTCTTGCTTGAGGATTTTAACATGTTCCAAAGATAAAACCCCATTTTTCAAACAGATTTTATGTTCTTCGCAGTCCCAAACTATTTATAAATCCAATAAATATGAAAATTACACTGATTTTTTTTAATTATTATTATTATTATTGCGCGTAATATGATTAACGATAATAGATCCTTGACACTTTGCATTTATTGGAAATAAAAATAAAAAGCCAAATTAAAGAGATCTTTCTCCCAAAGTGCTTTTTAACACTCTAATAAAAATATTACTGTAATATACATGTAATACAACTTTTATCCAATAACAAAATCGTATTAAGATAAAAATCAGCATTTTTTTATATTCGAAACTTTTAAATCTAAATTTGTTTTAAAATTTGGACATATGTAGAGAATCTGTGTGACACAAAATTAATGTCATTCCAAGAGTTTTTTTTTTTTTTTTAATGAAAGCATGCATATTCAACTCGTATATACGAGCATTCTTTGATCAAATTTTAAATTTCAAAAGTTCCATAGAAACACATGCCAATTTCGTAGAAATTTTCATTTCAATACTGAGCCATGTGACTTCCGTAATACTTATGCTATTTAATTAATGTTTTTCACTTGAACATGAATATACGCTCATAGATTCAAGTGGAGCTTACTTACAGCAATGGTAGCTTTGTGTTAACTTTTCATGACATTTCACTTTTTATCTTGCTTAGTATTATCTTATTTTTTGCTTCCTGTAAATTTCTAAGCATTTTTTTCCCAATTAAAGAAGCTTATTTCGAATTTCATTCTGCAGATTTTCTAAAATTCTATTTAAGAAAAGAGTAAGCGATTTTAATGGGAGCCTTTTTTTGTATGAATAAAATCTATTCTCCGAAGCAATTTTTGACCTCAGGAAATAGTGACATTCATCTCTTATCAAAAAGGTCTGTAAAGTAAAAAAGAAAATTCTCTTGAGCTCTGAATGGATTTTGCTTATTTTTTTCTTTAATCATTCGACATAATCTATTTTTATCAAGAGGAATACAAGTAAATATCCTGTTTCTATTTTCTATCTGTTATAAGTATAACTGTTATGTACAGTATTGCTGTTCGGTGTAATCAATCACATTGCTCGATAATGCTATTGTATGACCACTGAGAGGATTTTTGAAAGCTCTTATTTAGAGCTTAAATATAGACAATGTAATGTTAAACTAACGGTTTATTCATATAAGTATTAATGAGTTATTACGTTAATTGTAAATGATTGGTCAAAGCATATAAAATTAATTTGATTTAGAGACTTACGTTTGGGAAGGTGTTTTTGAGGAATATTGTCTTGCGTTATTTATTTTGCAAGAGGGAAAATCACCCCAAAAAAAATTCGTGATGTCATTTCATTCTGACAGGAATCGAAACCCAGACTACAGAGCAATAGACCTTTGTGGGTCGGATGCGCCTTTGTGCAAAGCTATGTTTTAACGCCCCCACCAATAAAACAGAATATGAAAATCATAGTGAAAGTAATTCCAATAAATTTTTATTTATTTTGAATACAAGTATAATATATACGTATGCTTATATGAAAAATCAATAAAATTTTTGCTTTTATCCAACGGTCACAGAGCAATAATACATTTTGAGCTATGGTATATACGATGTCGGTTCACTACGTATATATGCTCATGTTTAAGCCGTTACAAAACTGTTATTACACACACGCACACATATATATGTAAAATATAAAAGTATGTAGGAGAATTATTAAACAAATTCTTAACTTAATAGGAAATATCTATTTTAATTCCTAATTCTGACTTAAATATAGCCCCTTTCAAAGCATCTGTAGTACGTTGCTGACATCATTAGTCTTCTGCAATAATAGGCATTGCTGTAAGTTATAGATCAGTCGCTGTTCAGGATTAAAACAAAGCAGCCAAGCCTTTAAATACGCCAACTGCTTAAATATGCATCTCTTTCCTCCCCTGCTCTAGTTACATAAACATGTTATTAACCGCTTGACAGCTTCAACTGTTGCAACAATGTGATTTGTTTATATAAAATTGTGGGCCGCTTATAGCCCTCCCTAATGTTGTATCAATCAAGAAGAAATGTGCTTCTAAAGACTTTTTTTTTTTTTTTTTTTTTTTTTTTTTTTTCAGAAAGAAAAGGATTTAACTACCAAGCGAATCGTGCTTCTACTACACAATCTACTACACAACCAGTATTTCAGATATGTTCGTATCACCCAAAAGTATTACATATACGTATTTCACAAAACCGTTTCTATTGATGTCACTAGTGAATTGATAACACGTTATTCGAATACTGTTAATCTCAAATTATGTTTAATTAATTTTAGCTTTGAAAATTCTCCCAGATGATGCAAATACAAGAGATGCTAAATAAGTGAGTAAAATATGGAAACGCTTGGAAATGAAGGCACCATATGACTTCGTTGTACGCAAAAATTGCAAATTTTGAAATTAGATATCACGGCCAATTTTTGTCGTAACGAGATTCAAACGTCTTATAATTTTATCTTTTCATAACGAGCATAAAACTT